CCCCCCCCCCCCCTTTTCTTTTAAAAGGAATCTAGTGGAATCCCCATAGATAGCCTGGGTTGAAATGAGAATGCACAGTTAATTCTCAGGATTCAAACTCCCTTCGCCTTCCACTGCGGCCTTAAATCGTCTCTGTGGTATCATAATTTAGACACCACTATTTTAGTGGAACTGAAAATTAATCCATTTTGCTTCAGTCCTTGTTGAAATTCTTTTAATTAGCAAATATGTACTAACCTTGCTTTTCTGTCAGCATTCTGATATACATTGGGACCCTTAAATGGCAGTCACTGTTCTTCCCTGGCCTAAAGATCCCACTGGCATTAAGTGCTATGAGAAGTGCAGGAAAATATTTATTGAATGGCACTGGATATAGGGAAATACTGTATACCAAAAAAACGTGGAATGAAATGCTTTTAATTTTTTTTTTTCAATGTTTATTTATTTTTGGGACAGAAAGAGACAGAGCATGAACGGGGGAGGGGCAGAGAGAGAGGGAGACACAGAATCGGAAACAGGCTCCAGGCTCTGAGCCATCAGCCCAGAGCCCGACGCGGGGCTCGAACTCACGGACCGCGAGATCGTGACCTGGCTGAAGTCGGACGCTTAACCAACTGCGCCACCCAGGCGCCCCAAATGCTTTTAATTAAATCAGCTGTGAGAAAGGGCTTCTATCACAAATATTTTTCTGTTAACCCTTTTCTAGGTCTTTTTTTTTTTTTTAAACATATATATATATATATATATATATATTTCTCTCTATTTCTGTCCTTTTCTCTGGCTTCCAAAATGCAGTATGTAGTTGTGTAAAGTATACTTACATGGTACAGAAAATGGATAAATATTCCAGTGGCTATATATTTTTTTAAATGAACATTCCATTGCTCTGTACCATGAAGGTTATTTATACTCCTCTACATAGTTATTGCCGTTTCTGTTGCTCATCACTCCTTTGTGTAGATCCGGGTATCACTTATTCTCCTTGAAGGAAGTCTTTTAACATTTCTTGTAGGTCAGATCTGTTGTTAATGAGTTCTTTCAGCTTTTGTGTGTCTGTAAAAAAATGTTTCAATTTTGTTTTTGAAAGATAGTTTTACTCATTAAAGAAGTCTATCTAAGTTGGCAGTTTTTCTCTTTCAGTACTTTAAAGATTTTGGCCCTTTATCTTCTGGCTTGCATTATTTCTAATGAAAAACTGTCATTCTTTGTACCTCTGTATGTAACGTGTCCTTGTTCTCTGGCTCCTTATAAAATTTTCTTTTTTTCACTAGTTTAAAGCAATTTGATATTGATGTGCCTCAACATAGTTTTCTTCATGTTTCTTGTGTTTGGGCTTATTGAGCATCTTAGATCTGTGGGTTTATGATTTTTATCAAACTTGGAAAGTTTTTGACCATTATTTCTGACTGTGTCAGCACAGAGCTCAACGCGGAGCTTGAACTCATGAACCATGAAGTCATGACCTGAGCCGAAGTTGTATGCTTAACTGACTGAGCTACCAGGCTCCCCAACCATTATTTCTTCAAACTTTTTTGTCTCTCTCTTCCTTTGGAGGATTCCAATTATATATAAAAGTGGTTGCCTCAGGTTGTCCCACAGCTCACTGATGCTCTTTTCATTTTCACTCTCAATCTTTTTTTCTTTCTCTTGATTTCATTTTGTATGGTTTCTATTACTATGTTTTCAACTTCGTTAATCCTTTCCTTTGCAGTGTCTAATCTGTTAATCCCATCCAGCGTATTTTGATTTCAGACATTGTAATTTTACCTCTAGAAGTTTGATCTGGGTCTTTTAAAAATCTTTTTGAAGTCTATACTTAACATGTTCAGCCTTTTCTATAGCATCTTGAACATTTGAAATATAGTTATTGTTTTAATGTACTTGTCTACTAATTCTGTCATTCTGCAAATTATGGGTTTCAACTGATTTTTATCCTCATTTGGGAATATATTTTTTTGTTTATTTTAATGTCTAGTAATTTTTTATTGGATGTAAGGCATTTTGAGTTTTATCTTGTTGGGTGATGGATATTTTTATATTCCTAGAAATATTCTTGAACTTTGTTCTGGTATACTTTATTTGGAAACAGTTTGATCATTTTACTTTTAAGCTTTGTCAGGCAGTCCCAGAGTTGTGTTTAATCTAGGATTAATTTATCTACTACTGGACAAGACCCTTCTTTCTTTAATCAATTATCTGTGAATTATGAAGCACTCAACTTTGGCTATTGGGAGCAGGCACTGTCCTGGGTGGGTTTGAATTCTGGGCACTATCCCCTCTAATCTTTTGGAATACTTCTTTCCCCAGCCATAGGTGGTTTCCTCACAGTATTGCCTGAATACTCAAAGGGGACCCTCTGTAGAGCTCTGGTATTTGCTCTGTGCAGCTCTCTCCTCTGCAGTTCTCTGCCCTGCCAATTCTAGCTGCTTTGGTGTCCCTGAACTTCCACCTCTATCTCTTCAATTCAGGAGATCTGTTGTCCCGGATGTTAAAATGTGTGCCATGTAAACTAATTTTCAAAGCCAATCCTTACTAACAAAACAATTATTCAAATAGATTTTGTTAGAAAAAGCCTGACTTCATTTTTAAGAATTCAGAATGTAAATGTTGTTATGTAGTTTGATGAATATTTTTAAAAACCACTGAGAAATAAATTGTGGAGTATGTCTTGTAAGAAATTACTAAAAGTAGACATTATTAAAATTTACCGTTTTCAGTAGTGACGCACTAATTTACATTCCCACCAGCAGTGCATGAGGGTTATCTTTTCTCCACATCCTTACCAAAACTTGTTATTCTTTTGTCTTTTTTGATAATAGTCAATCTGATACTTGTGAAATGATATCTTATTGTTTTGATTTGCATTTCCATGTTGAACATCTTTTCATGTGTCTGTTGGCCATCTGTATGTCTTCTTTGGAAAAATATCTATTCAAGTCCTCTGCCCAATTTTTAATTGGGTTGTTGTTGATGTTGATATTAAGTTTTATTAGTTCCTTATATATTT